CATCTGGTTCTAACTACCTCCATCAGCCCTCTAACCCAATGGGTTTCCTCACTATTTATACGCTAGATTTTGGTATCACCCAATGTGAATCGTATTAATATTAATGCAGATGCACTAGATACAAAACTTATATACAAAAGAGAGACTTGCTTTAGTTGTTGAAAGTGTTTATACTGTGGTGTTGATTTGCAAATACAAAAATACAAATGTGATATTACAAAACCACCTCATAGAGGCAATTGAACAGAGGCTGTCAAATATGCATATACACGAATTTTTACACCCAATTGGACAGAAGATCAAGTTTCTTATATTCAAGAAAAGTATTACACTATAATTATTTAATAACTCTAAAAGATTCTTTTAATATTTCACTTTGTTCACGATGCAATAATGGGCTATTAAGATTGAATACAACAAAAAAAAATTAATTAGCAACTCTAAATCGGTAAAGAATAAAATCAACACTTCTTTTGAATTACACAAATCTAAAAAAATTAAAGTAGAGTCAAAGATATATGATCTTATTTTGGAAGATGATGGTCAAAATTCATTAGATTCTTTTAAATCTAATGATGACAGTAAGGAGGATATATACTATATGAACAAAGTAGATAATTTCGAAAAAGACTTTGAATATAAATTTCATTATGGTATCTTTATAAAATTAGATGAAAAATTTTTACCAACTAAATGGTATAAAATTACTATATCCGAAGTAGATAAATTTCTTGCAGAAATTCATAACAATGTAATCACATTAACAAAGAATAAATCAATTGAAGCATGTGATTATAATGTAACATTTAAAAGTGAAAAAGCTGCAGAAGCCGGAACTCAGTTAGTGGATGATTAAGATTTTCAAAAATTTTGGTCTGAATACTATAAACTTTCTGTGCAAAAAGTTAACATGGAGATATTTATAACAATTAATTCACAAGACTCAAATAAAAATAAGCATAAAAAAAAGATATATTTATTTAAATTAGTATTTGCTCTAGTGAATTTAATTTTACTTGCTTAAAATAAAAATTTAATAAAATTATTTTAGGATAATGATTCTGAAACAGAAATTAATATGTTAGAGGATGACTATTTGGAACATTCAAAGAACAAAAACTAAGTTCCTAAAGTATCTAATCTTAAAACTCAAATAGCTAAAAGTGTTTTAAAAATTCATACTGCAAATCATTGTAATATACATAATCGAGCATGTTTGAATATAGATAAAAGTAAGGAATATCATATTGAAATTACCTTTATGATGTTATCTACTTGGGTATCAAAAATAGGAAATATATTTTTTATTATATTTGTTTAAATAAAATTTATATAAATTCACTTTTACTAAAACGCACCTATGGTGTTTTTACACCATAGGTCCCATTTCTCAAAAACGTACTAAGTAAACGAGATCGGGTTCTCTAAGTAAAAATGTTCAGAACTCCCAAAAACCTTACAAAAACTGAGATCGGGCCCTTATATTAGCTTTATAATATATTATATAAAAAAAATAATTCTTAATTTCCTAACCCTAACCCTAAATTTTATTAAAAGAAATT